CCACGGCAGCGGGCCCACGCGCGCCACGCGCGTCCCGTCCCACAGGTCCACGATCACGTCGCGCCCGCCGCCCAGCGCGACCCGCAGCAGTTCAGCCAGCGCTCCCACCAGGAGCCGCTGCGCCTCGGAGTCCGCCGCGTGCAGGAGCAGTACCGGCGCTGGGCCCGAGCCTGGAGGTGGGAGAAACAGAGGAACGGGGTAGGGGGCCGAGACAGCCCAGCCCTCTTCTCCCTGGCCTCGGGGCTACATGATAGGGTGCCCGCCCCGTTTCTTATCTGCGCTGGGGGTAGGCACCCGATGCAGCTTTAGCCTATAGGGTGCCTTTGGTTGCCCAGGAAGGGGCGAGGGCAGGCTGGATTTCCGCCTCACTAGCCTCTTGCCTAGAGACGGGCACAGTGAACCACCTGCAGAGGGACCTTTGCCCTGCCTGAACCATTCCCGCTCACTAGGCAGCCTGAGGCTCAGCGCCTCGGGTAACAGCTAGGCGCAGCGGCAGGGCAGTGGCTGTCTGGGAAGGGAGCCTGGGTAGGAGAGGGATGCGGTCAACTAACCTAGGAGCCAAGAAGGTCTGAATGCCCAGGATCCCCCCCGAGTGAGCTTACCTGACAGTGGGCGACGGCGGGTGAGGGCCATAACAACGCCCAAGAGGGTGGTGAAGGCCAGCAGTGCCAGGATCAAAAGCCCCAGGCGTCTATGAGAGACTGAGTCAAGCAGGGTGAGGCCCAGCCAGCTCCTCAGTGCCCAACCTCCCACTTACCCCTTCCCCTCCCAAGAACTCACCGTCTGGACACAAGAGGTGCTTCCAGGCAAACTGGACATCAGACCTCCACACCTGAGGGCACAGAGCCCCCCACCCCTGTGAGCCAGGGCAGCCCCTCCTCCCAGGGAAAGTAGAAGGAGGCATGGGGTTGGAGAAGGGAAGTCTCCCTGGTTAGGGAATTCCTCCAGCCCAGGGTCTGTGTCTCGTGCAGTTCCAGCTGGGCACAGAACAAGGTCAAGAGCGGCAAACTCAAAAAGTAAACCCAAAGTTTACCAGGGCATCCATGAGGGCCTGGAGGGCACAGGTCCTGACTGAAGTAGTCAGACACCACTGAGCTCCAGCCCATTATCACCAGGCCTGAATGTGGACACAAAGCACCAGGTTTTCTGATTTTTCACGAGATGTCAGAAAACAGCTTTATAAAATGACATCTCCCAATATTCAAAGGGTGGCAGCAAATTCCAATTTTGAACATCATGCTGGCCTGACCAAACATTGTTGCAGACTGGATTTGCCCCACATGCCACCTGTGGAGTAGATGCCAGGGGAGTGTATGCAGAGGGAGGGCAGGATTCCTTACCAGGACACAGCTCCCCCGGCCTCAGGAAGGGAATGATGAGGTCTAGTGTCACTGGGCTTGAGCCCTGAGTCTGTTGGAACAAAGAGCAGGAATGTTCCCACAGAAGCAAGGTGGGCTCTGTCCAGCCTCGGAGTGTTTGCCCCTCCTGTGTTCCTCCTTTCCACACCCCCTCACCCAAATCCAACCCAGGCTTAGGGTCCAGTGCCACCCAAAGAAGAAGCCTTCCCAGGCTTCATTCCCAGATCCTGCTGATCATTCCCAGATCTGAACTGCTGCACAGACATACCTTAATCAGGCAACTGGGCCCTGGTCAACAAACACACTCTAGGGGCCTACTCTGTGCCAAGCCCTGAGGAGACAAGGCTGGCACAGACATTGTCTCTGCTCCAGCAGCTCACAAACCAGGAGGCTAATTATACACTGCCTCCCTTCTCTGTCCTGCACACCTGAAGGGGCAGCTTGTCCACTGGAAAGAACTTAAAGACTCTACAACTTGAGTCAGGAGACCACAGCTAACAAAGTCAGGCTAAACTCTTGCCTTTGTGGCTCCCAGCATGGGATCTCTGCGTGGAGATAAGCTACCTTCCTCCCTGAGCCTCAGTTTCTTCATTTGCGTATGAGAGATAATCATCTTTATTTTCCTGGGTTATTGAAAGCACCACATGGGAATATGCACTTGAGTGCCCTTTATAACACACAGTGCAGGGTGGGTTCATTTACTAGTAGCAGCCGTTATGACACTGTGGACTTCTTAGAGGCACAGACTGTGTCATATACTTCTCTTCCATCTCCCAGGACCTAATACAGAGTGGGCCCAGAGTAAGCATTCAAGAAATACATGATGAACTGGGCAGAACTGATAGCCATCTGTCTACAGGCAGGATGTGGATTTACCCTGTGTGAAGAGGGTGCTGGTTAGGGAGCTGATCAGTTTCCATTCTTTGGGAACGCCCTCCACTCCCTACCCGCCACCCCAGCCCCTGTCCCAGACCCCAGGCAGGTCCTGATGCAGTGGCTCTCAAATCATGGTTAAACTCAATGAAGGTGGTCTTTTCCCAGCCCACAGAAAGGAGTCCATGGATTTAGCTTTCAATTTTAGATGATCCCATGTGACTTTGTCTTAAATCTTAAGTATTTGCTACCACCTGTCTGCTTGGGAGCCCTCATAGAGTACTAAACAAACAAGCTGCAAATGAGTAAGAGAGAACTCAAAAGAGCTGGCCATGCTTAGTCAGCCTGCTGCTGTGGTTTTGCGGCTTGACTGTGGTTTTTATGTCAGATATACAGAAGAGAGTCGGCCAGTCAGACTGTTTTTGGTTTACATTAATAGGGTTAAGCCTGTCAGTGGTTTACAGTATTCAGCAAAGAGCCCTCAGCTTCCAGGGCCCTGCCTCCCAAAGATACTCAGAGAACTCCTGCCAGACGCCCTGTGGAGGCAGGCAGGGGAGCCAGGGTAGAGGACAGCTGGGTTCAAGAGAAGGCATCGATCGCTATAAAATGCAGCGGCAGTCCGAGTGGGCCAGAGAACACCTGGGGGTGGGAGGGCCAGCCTCTTGCCTCTCTTTACTCCTGTAGACTCAGATACTAAAAGGATGAGAAACTGCTCTATCGAAGACACCACTGACTGGCAGAGGAGGCAGCTGAACAAAGACCACTCAGGTAAATAAATAACCAGATGATGTCAGTTAGAGATTTGCTGGCCTCCACCTGCTGTGCTGTAATCAACAGGTCCTAGTGGGGGCCGAGCCCTGGCTGGGCCATACCTGGCTGACGCTGTACACAGGGGGCACCCAGCTGTCCTGCCCCAAGCCTGGGTGGCTCCAGGCAGCACTGAAGGTGGCATGCATCCGTGAGGAGAAGTGAAGGATCAGCTGCCGGGCCTGGGTATCCATGCTCACGTTCCAGGAGGGGGCTGCCAGGGGGTGAGAAAGGGCATCGGGTGAGAGACCTGTTGGCGGAAGGTGATAGGAGCTGGGCTGCAGTGGACAGAGAAGTCAGGGCGGGGGTTGAGTTTGGCTCAGTCACAGTCAGGTGAGGGTGAAATGGTGGGATGGGGTCCCAGCTGGGGTCGCTTGTTGGCTCACCAGTCCGGCGGGGGCATTCAACGTGGCTACTGTTTCCAAAAGAGAACTGAGAAACGCAAGAATGGCAAGTCAGCAAGCTCCAGGCACCACGCACACCCCTCCCCGTCCCGTTGCCCATGCTTGTACCTTGAAGCAGAGCTGGGGGTGCAAGTCCACCTTCTCCAAGACGTACTGCTGTGGTGGGAGAAGGGAGTCAGGGAGCAGGGCCCCAGGCCCCAGCCCTGCCCACCCGGGTCCTGGGAGGCCGGACTCACCCCCTCTGACTCTTGAGCCGTGGCATTGGGGAGGTCTTCACAGATGGTGTTCCAGCCTTGCCTCTGGCAGAGGGAGGCCTCCAGCTTCAGTGGGCAGTGGAGTGTCGGTTTCATGACCATCTGACTGTGCTGGCTGTAGTCAGTAAATGTCACTGACGCCCAGAAGTCCGAGCCATCTGGGCAGGCAGCAGGGGCAGAGGGTGAGGCCTGGGGAGGCCCGAGTCCTATCCCCAGGGCACCAGGCGATGTTTGTGAAGGTGCTTGGCACGGCCCTGGCCTAGGTGCCT